TAAAAAACCTTAATTAATTGTAATATATTAATTGGTCAAGCGGACCACGAAATTAGTGAGTTTCGATCTTTATTGAGATCATCTTCAGGGCTCAGTGTTTGTTTTCCGTGTAGATGTGTCATTATTGTGTGTCGTGGGCTCTGCCAAACACTTTGAGCCCTGAAGATGATCTTAATAAAGATCGAAACGTTGGCACGATAAAGAAAATGTTTGTTTTTTAAACCTACGTCAAACCAGCCAGCATCTCATGACCTCCAAGTAATCATCAAGTAACGGCTACTAAACACCACACATTGCTTATTTACTTGAAATGCTCTAGTTGCAGAATGAAAGAAATAAATCGCAGGGTCGGACGGTTAAGGATCTTTGAACCAAAAAAAAAAATTATATTCCAATTGACTACGCATTATTGATTTTATTGGGTAACCTATTTGTAAATATTTAGGTGATGATGTTTCGATTGATCAGCACGATAAACGGAAAATATGGTTCATTTAATACGTAAGATGTTATTTTAACCCAATTGAAAGTGTCTTAAATTCGTAACTTGATCAATTTCCGTTCAATTTCCCGTTGAGCGGCTTTTTTTGGCAGAAAGCAATAGCGGCTAATGAAGAGCCTTCTCGCTTCTCCCCGATACAATTTCCCCTTTTCTGACAGTACTTACCGATTGTGAGGGTGTTGTGCGAGTAGTGTTCCGTCGTCAACGTTATATTGTGCGAAGCCCTTATGTGAATCGGGTGACCCTGTTTTGACCGAATGCTGGAGGCGACGAGATTCCCGAGGATGTAACTGTGACCGGCCACTTCGAGACCTCCTTCCACTATACGTACGTTTCCCATTCCATCCTGAAAAAAGATTCAATAGTTATTTATTTGTAATAGTTATTTATTTTATTATTATCATACCGTAATATAATATATTGTGTGTTGGCCTGCGAGTCTGTGAACCGGCACTGGGTCCGATCCAGTACGATTGAACTAGTACTTTTAAAAGTCCATTATATTTCGTGGTCCGATTGACCAAATAACTTCTTTCAATGAATTCATCTTTATGTAAGGTATTGGTTGAACTAAAAAAGCCAGCGGAACGAGCGGGATTCGAACCCACGACCTTCGGCTAAATACGTCGCTGCTCTACCACTTGAGGTATCGTGACTTCGATCCACTTGGACACCAACTTCCCATCTCAACTGAAGGTCGTAGATTCGAATCCCGCTCGTGACGCTGGCTTTTTTATTTCAACCAATACCTTACTTAAAGATTAACTTTTAGCAAGGTTCAACTTAGACAGCGACAAACGTTAGATTGAATGAAAAATCATTGATGAATTATGATCAGCATATAATTCATTATTCTTTTATATTATTATAAATACAAAATATCACTTGATCCGTTCATTTTCCTCTTTTTTGTTAGTATTAGTGAATTTAAAGTTGAGTAATGGATACAAGACTGCAAAGATACGAATGAATCGATGAATGAAACAAGTTTACTGTGGACCATTTACAATCGGCATTGGTCACTACGCAGTTTTTTATTAATTAAGTAGAAAGAACGTTAATGATGATATCCAGTACATCATTGGACTGAAATATCCAAATTTGGTTTAGCTATAGTGAGGTTTGATTTAGGTTTTACTTGGGCCAAGTGAACCCCAGAGTTCAAGTCCAGGTGGGTCTGAGGATAGCCCAGTAAAAGACAAACTAATTTTCTAGACTCCATTTACTCTGTTATCGTAATTATGTATAGAACAGTTCTATGTTTAGTCCTACATTGTTCAGTCTATTCCAGTTTACTCTCACGCTGGCGGATCTGCTTGAATACGGGAATAGTGTTACTATTAAGGGTAACATGAGGAGAGGTAGAATTTTTTAAAGTAATACTCTCTTGAATAATATTATCCTGATTTGTAAGCACCGTGTTTTGAACTGGAGTTCCATTTCGAACTGATGGGAAGTTGTTTAACGGGTTCTGAGGATAACCGCGACATCAGCATTGGTGACTTTTGTGTCTGAGTTGAAATATCGGCGGTGAAAATATTAGAAATGACAAGAGCTAAGAGCACTACATTGTGGGATTTAAAATAGTTTAGTTCTGAGCTGCATATCTTCATGAAGTCCTGCGAGGTTATGAACTTTGTAGGTTGGTTACTTCCTTTCTACTTTTCGTCATTATAAGTGTTGGATTATATGGTTTTGTTAGTGTTATCATTGTATAAAATGACCCCTACGAAGAAAAATCAAACAAACCAGCCACTGAAGATGACGAACAGTCAAAATGGTCTGCCTGATCGAAATAGCATGAAAAGTAGACCCAAATGATCGGAAACTACCTAGAAACAAATAGTGTTTATTTCAAAATTTAAGTTCTTGCCAAATATCAGCCAATTACATATTATTTTCTAGCTTCACATGCAAGATAAACTGCTCAGAAAGGAATAGGGATATTTGTAATTTATTCTGAATCTATTAATTTTAATTGTAAAAGTAAGTTATTAGCGAGAATGGAGAGGGTTCAACCCCGCCCCGAGGAATATCGAGTACTCTGGGGAAGTGAAAGTGACCAGACCTGTATGTTTCTATCAAGTGTTGTGTTTGTATTAATTTATCGGAATGAATGTAATTTATTAGCGTGAAAGGAAGGGGTTGCTTATAACCCCGCCACGAGGAATATCGAGTACTCTGGGGTGAGTGTATGACGTCTGGAGAGTAAAAGTAATTTATTAGCGTGAAAGGAAGGGGTTGCTTATAACCCCGCCCCGAGGAATATCGAGTACTCNTCTATGTTTGTGGTGATGTATATATATGTATTGTATGTTTTGTTTCTATTCTGTATTTGACAACCTGGTACAAACGAGAGACTAGCATTCTAGAATATCAACGTAGTATATATCTGAAATCAGAGAGTCAGTAACCAGATCGAGACGCTCAAATGGCTGCAGTTAAAACAAAATATGCGCGAAAGAAAAGAAAAACATGGAAAACACGCAGAGGGCCGGCGATGACCTCAGCTGTTTGTCGGCCCATAAACCTCCCACTTATAATAATAATAATAATAATTAATTTTAATTAAATTAACAAATACGTTCTTGTTAGTTGGATAAAACAAAATAGAAAATACAAACCAAAAACAAAGGAATGTTCATCTTCATTTTTAGGTATTTGCTTAAGAATAGTAAACATGAAGATTACTCATTTTGTAAACGAACACCATTCCTCGTTTTTTCGCCATTTTAATCCAGTTGTATTTTCTTTCATGAAAAGATTGAATCTTTAACCAGAAGTTCGCAATATTATTGTGAGAATGAGTCATCAAGGTCACCGGCAAGTGGATAATCTCAGAGGCAGTGAGCGTCTCTCAGAGCGTCGTCTCCTGGGCTTTAGCCCGATTCCGAGAGACTGGAAGTTCCCGTAAGATTGGTAAGGAATATCAGCGCATTACGACGATAAGGGAGGACAGAAATACTGTCATTTCTGCAAGACAGAACTCTTTCCATAGTGCCCGCCAGATCCTAAATGCAGTACAACATGTTTGGCAAGGCCTTTACCAACGATTCGTAAGTTCGCCTCACATCGTGTCCCTCTTTGAGACGACCTCCAGCAAGAGCCCGCTACCAGCAACTGAGGAGAATATGGTGCTGCGATCATAAGATAACACCAATTGGAATACCGTTATGTTTACTGAAGAGTCGCACTTTCAGTAAGTGATAGCAGGCGCCGAAGAGTCTAGAGGGGAGCCCCAGCCCGTGCTCCCTTCAGTGCAGTTTAGAGGAGGCGGTGTTATAGTTCGGACTGGAGAACGAACTGAACTCCATATTGTTGAAGGCAATCTCACCGCAAACCAATATGTCCAAGAAATTATTGAGGAATACATCCCTCAGAAAAGGATCTCTTTGGCAGGGATTTTCGATTTCAGGATGGCAATGCCAGACCTCATAGGGCAGAGGCATTCATCAATGTTTAGAAAACCTGAGAATTTCTCATCTACCCCTTTTCCCATTGTCTCCAGACCTCCAGGGAAGGATTTTCCATCACCTCCGCAGCCAGTTGACCTGCAACAACTGAGTGCAACGTTGAACCATCTAAGGAGTGAAATTAAATTACCTATTATATAACCAGCATGCCTAACAGGTTCACATAAGTTGTTTACAGAGGACATTGTACAAGGTATTAATTGTTTAAAAAAATTATTGTGTCTAATAAACAAAATTTTGGAATTAAACTTCTATCTTGTTATCTTTCAAAATCCCTTAATAAATTTTTCTTCAGTAAAAATCATAATAATTTCTAATAAATTTTAATACAATGTATAATAAAAGTAAAATAACCATGGTAGGAAAATACATACTACAAAATTGACAATATTCCTTTTCCTTTTTTAGCCATTTATATTGAAGTAATACATATTTTAGCATATGCACAGTTGAACAATGCGTTGTTTCGTAAATAATTTTTGTAATATAAAAAAAGAGACCGTTGATGAACATTTTCGACCCTGACCAACTCATAACATTAGAATTTGTTAAAAACAAAACGATCTGACAATGCGGGCTACATTAATCTTCATCCTTTTTTACGGAACGGCTATTGTTCTCAATCAATGCATCCATTCAGTATGCAATAACACTCATTTTATTCATGCCGTGCCCAAACTAACTCAGAGAATCAAATTTTCATGAAAAATTTCCGCGATCTTTCGAAATGACAGTTTCTTTTTCAGCCAAGTTTTCACGAAGAATTGGACTAATGATACAATTTTTGTGATTGCAGTTTTAAACTTGTAAAGGCAATTGTACTGAAATTTTTATGACAATAGTTTTTCTAGCATAAACTCAAACTGGTAGAATAGAATGTAACTTTCTACATTCTATATATCTCTATATATATATTAACTCTGAGCAAGTTAAAAATATCAAAAATCACACTCATCAACTGAAATACAGGCTATTAATGCTTGTGACGTATAAAGTCTTAGAAGTCACACACCAAAAAATTACTCAAAAAATCAGACAGCTAAGAAACCCTAGAAGGATTATCACGTGAAAATTCACATCGAATTTATGCGGATGCATCCAAAACCTGGGAAAACCATGTAGCAATATTTTCGTTGTCAGAGGGTAGTGAACAAACTAGCCAGGTGAAATTCTGCAAAGCTAAATGTAGGTCTAGACATAGGTACTCATGATTAAACCCAAACTGGCAAACACATTGGAACAGTTAGAAAGAGTAAAACTCAGGGTAGTGATACATTCTGTACTGGTGTTAAGAAATCTCATATATGGGTATGTTTAACGATGGCCCATTTGTAGGCTATGCGATGCAGAGGAAGAAACTGCCGAAAGAAAATTATCTTCTAAGTGGGGAACCATGTTGACCATGTCAAAATTGCAACAATGATATTCTACTTTTTAAAAAAGTATCTAATTAATTGAACTGAACAGATGAGCAAAAAATCAGTTTAATCAACTTTCTTTGCATAATATCCGTATATAAAACACGGAAATTTATAAATTTAGATTCATATTACGCTACAATACTTTGCTCTCGCTAACATTCAAGGTTATAAGGCATGAAAAAAAAATATATAAAAAATAAACATATGTTATAAAAATAATAACATGATTATGATTTTTATAAGAAAAATATTTTCTTGTAGTTTTATATCGCTTTTATTTTTTTATATATTGGACATTTTATGTATTTTCATAAATACACCTAAGTTCGTGAATATGGGTCCATACGGAAACGCCAATATTAAAAACAAAATAAAATAAAATAAAAAATAAAAGAGATATAAAACTACATGGAAATATTTTTTTTAAACCATAAAATAAAAAAAGGAAGAAA